ATTCATTGCCTCGGAATACCATTATGATTTACTCTTCCTTCTTAAATCTTTAAACCGATTCTATTAGCCCATAAAAAAGTAATCCTTTGACTGTGCTAATAAATACCAAAGAGTAAGTCCACTTTTGGCCACTGTGCTTTTCAGAGGGTAGAGGGAGAAACCGAAAGGCTGTCAGGGAGAACAAAGGAAAGGTGCTCACTGATACTAAGTGTTCCCGACTGTGTACCAGGTCTGGTTTAAACACGACGTGCACGCAGACACACTCATTTAAGCAAAGCTGTTCTGGGGGGTTTGAACTTCTTATTTTGTTTTACTTGTCTGTATTTTCTGATTGTTTTCTATAGAAGTACATGTTGGTAATTTTTTTTAAGATAAAGGAATAGATGTGTGCACTTTTCCCTCTCTCCCTCTGTGTCTGTGTGAGTTTGTGTAGGACTTTAAGAAAAAGCTTAAAAATAAATGAGTAAATAAAATGCTAATAAGACATGAAAAATCATCCAGTAGAGGAAAGCTCAGAGGAAGGAAGGAAGGGAAGAAGAAAGAAAGGGAGGGAGGGAGAGGTAGAGAGAGAGAAAGAAAGAAGAAGGTAGGAAGGAAGGGAGAGAAAGGGAAGAAAGGCTTAAAGACTTAGGATTATTTCTCATTCTTTCTGGAGAAAAGAAAGCTTATTGGACAACTTGATTCAAGTCATATGCCTCGTCCAGCATATGGCAGAGGGTAAGCCTCAGTATTTGTTGGACGGATAAACTGAACTTCAAGGAAGATTGTACTGATTGGCGGTACCTGATGTTCTTGGTGCCTACAGAAGGCTGGAGGAATTAAGTTAATTTCAGTGCTTTCTTTGAGGCAGGAAAGGTTTGGGTTGAGCGTAAGGGAGAGCTTTGCACTCACAGAGTCAGAGAACACCAAGAAAGCCAGTGGCAGTGAGGTCCTCAGGAAGAGAAGCTGCACGGAGGTGCACCAACGCTGTGGATAGCATGGACCATGCACTCCCCTAGAGGCTGGCCCACATCATCTCGACAGACTCCTCCCAGCGCTGTTGGTGAACTGAGGGCAGAAGGCCTGGTAGTCTTCCGAGAATCAGAAAATGGAAGGGACCCGACAGTCCAACCCTCTTTTTTTACGCACAAGAAACCAGACACATCCATGCTGATGAGGAGGGTTTCTGACTCCCGAGGGCCGGGCCAGGAGATAGGTAATCAGAGCAGTGTGATTGCAATGCCACATGGCAACACCACCAGGGAGGGTTTGGGAACTCACGTCGGGAAACTAATGTTCCAAAAGCTCTTTGGTTTTTCAGGAACCCCATACTTGCCTTCCACTGAGCCACTTCCCCCCAAAACCATACACGCTTTCCACTGCCATTTTCTCCTTCTGTATAAATCCTGAGACTCTGTATTGAGGGTGAAGCGACATAAATTTAGGGATGAGGCAACCTGGCTTCATACTCTAGGTCTGTTACTTACCAGCTGGGTGACATTAAGCAAGTCATACTTAATATCTCTAGATTTCATTTTCTTCAGCTGTAAAACATGGACCATAATAGTAACTACTTTCATAGGTGATTGCGTGGACTGAGATTAGGCATAATGGGCTTCACACAGGACCTGAGACATAGTAAGAATAAGAAACGTTTGGGTGTTGTTATCAGTCAATCAACAAGTATTCATTAAGTACCTTAGACTGTTCTGATTACTCTGAGAGACAAAGACCGAGATCTCCATGGCCAAAGCCAAGTAGAAAACGTGGCAACAGCAAATATTTGCTAAATTCCTAACTTCATTTTTTGGTCCAAGTAATCCATGCCAGAGCCACCATTCTCACCTTTGCCTGGGACAGCCCAGTTTCCATCGGTCTCACACTATGGTGGAGGCACTCCCTCAGGACAAGGCCCTGTGACTGCGCCCTGCATGAAGACTCAGACTTCTTCGGTTTGGTGTTTGAGCGACACTTAGTCTAGTTCAGTAATCCAAGAGCTCTTAATTAGATGAGCACAATCCCTGCCCATTGAACAACCTGAAACCTAGCTCTGGGATTGTGGGTCCCCCCAGTGAAATTTTAGTGAGGCTCAGAGGGGGATATGGTTCAGGCTTCCAGCCCAACAGCTCTACTCACATCTCAGACTCAAAATTCTCTGGAGGAGACTCGCTTCCTAGTTTCCATCCCTTTCTATACTGTCTGAACACTTCCCTAGGCCTCAAAAGCTGGTGAGGGTATGATTAAACAGAGAGTCCCATATATTGCTGTGTCAACATAAATGGGTATCAAAAGGCAACAATCCCCACTTTTAAAACTTTTTATTTTGATAGAATTCTAGATTCACATGCAGTTGTAAGAACTAATACAGAGAGATCTAGTACCCTTCACCCAGTTCCCCCCAATGAAAACATCTTGCAGAACTATAGTACAATCTCCCTGCAAGGAAATTGACAGTAATACAATCCACCCACCGTATTCAGGTTTCACCAGTTTTACGTGCGCTCGAACGGATTGTGTGTGTGTGTGTGTGTTTAGTTCTATGCAATTTTATCACATATGTTATTTCAAGATGCAGAACAGTCCCCTCCTCCCTCCCCCCAACTCCTGGCAACCACTAATCTGTTCTTCATCTCTATAATTTTGTCATTTCAAGAATGTAATGGAATCACATGGTGTGTAACGTTTTTAGATTGGCTTTTTTCTCTCAGCATAATTCCCTTGAGAGCCATCCAAGTGGTTGCATGTATCGATAGTTCATTCCTTTTTACTGCCAAGTAATATTCCATGGAATGGACATGCCACAGTTTGTTTAACCATCCAACCGTCGAAGGGCATCTGGGTTGTTTCCAGTTTTTGGCTATTACTAATAAAGCTGCTTTGAACATTCACGTACAGGTTTTTGTGTGAACATATGTTTTTATTTCTCTGGGATAAATGCCCAAGAGTACAATTGCTGGGTTGAATGGTGAGCATATGTTTAATTCTGCAAGAAACTGTCGGAGCGGCTGTACCATTTTACATTCCCACCAGCAATGTATGAGCGATCTAGTTTCCAGCTCCTCACTAGCATTTCGCATCATCACTGTTTTTTATTTTAGCCATTCTGATAGGTGTATAGTGATATCTCCTGGTGGTTTTAATGTGCATTTCCCTAAAAGATGTTGAACATCTTTTCGTGTGTTTGTTTGCCGTCTGTATATCCTCTTCCATGAAATGTTTGATCATGTCTTTTGCCCGTGTTCTACTCGGATTGTTTGTTATTTTACTGTTGGCTTTTGAAAGTTCTTTACATGGTCTAGATGCAAGGCCTTTGTCAGATACGTGGTTTGCAAATACTGTCTCCCAGTCGGTGGTTTGCCTTTTCATCATCTTCACAGGGTCTTCTTAGAGCAAATATTTTTAATTTTGATGCAGTCCCGTTCACCATGGTTTCCTTTTATGGATTATGCCTTTGGTGTCAAGTCCAAGACCTCTTGTTTAGCCCTAGGTTCTGAAGATTTTCTCTTATTTTTTTTTTATTCTAAAATTTATGCTTTACATTTACATGTAGGCCTTTGATCCATTGTGAGTTAGTTTTTGAATAAGGAGTAAGGTTTCCATCGATGTCCATTTTTTGTACTTTTGAATGTCCCATTGCTCCAGCACCGTTTGAACAACCCCTTTTTGGAAAGCAGTTTGGCATATTTATCATTAACCAGAAGAATGTTCATAGTTTTTTTCCCATCACTTCTGGGGATTCATCCTAAGGAAATAATGCAGAAATGTGAAGAAAATCTGTAAAATTGAAAAATAGTCACTGTAATATTGTTTCTAAAACTGAACAATTGAAGTTCATCTAACTGCCCAACAGTAGCATACTGGCTAAGTATGGTATATACACAGAATAATATACAACAATTAAAAATACTTACTAAATAGCTTTCACTCATTCAACAAATACCACGTAGCCACGAGTGCCAAGTCCTAGGTCAGTGCTGAGGCTACTCTGGTGAGCAAATGAGACGTCATTTCTGCCGTCTAGAAGCTCATGGTCTAGAAGACAATTCAGCCACTTAGAAACATACATTTGATGAACTAAGGGAAAAAATAGGAAATGGAATTCATGTACAAGGTAACTGAAACACTATTAAAATATATGTATATGGAAAAGACCCCAAAAAATCATTCTTTTAGGATGATGGGATCAAGGGCAAATTTTTTTTTCATCCTCTGTTTTCCATATCTCCCATTGCATTATTTTCTTTTTATAATAATGACAACAGCAAAGAGAAAAGCTTCCATTGAGAAATAGCTTCTTGTCATAAAAGGGTTAGGCGTGTCCCTTTGAAGAGGTGACAAGCACAGAGACGAGAATCCAAAGAGCACAGAAAAGACCACAAGAGACAGTTAAGTCTCCCAGCTCCAAGCTAAGTCATGCTGGATGATTCAGTCAGTCAGCAAGTGTTGATAGAGCGTCAGCAAGGTAACCCATGTCACATGAAGCACTTGGAATACGTGTTTAAGAATAGACAGTCCCTGACCTCTTGGGGCACTTGCAAGAAGCTCTGATCTCAAGCTTCCCTACGCTTATTCGGTACTTCACCCTTTATCATGTGCTATCATATATGTTTCCTCATACGATCCTCTCAACAAACCTGTAAATTTGCTAGGGAAGGTATAATTTAATCCCCATTTGACACACGCTAAGGCGCAGAGAGCTTAAGCAGTTTGCCCAAGGTCACCCAGATAATGGATGGCAGGGGCCTGAGACCTGGCCTTCTGTCTCCAAGGCCAATGCAGTGCTCAGAGCACAGTGCCTCAGGAACAGCTGTGACGGCGGCAGGATCAGAGCAGGTGACTCAACAGCAGGTAGCCACAGTTAGTGTGCCAAGGACGTGGGTGAGAAAGACGCTCCTAAGGTCGAAGAAGGATGGACAGGGAGCCAGGGCAAGGGACAGCCTCCTCTCCCCTGGTGTGGTGGGGCCTGGGGGTCGAGGCAGTGAGGGGTGCGTGACGTGAACACCTCTCCTTCCTCTCCCCAGATGGTGAAGGCAATCCAGGTGCTGAGAATCCACCTGCTGGAGTTGGAGAAAGTCAATGAACTCTGCAAGGACTTTTGTAACCGTTACATCACCTGCCTCAAAACCAAGATGCACAGTGATAACCTGCTCAGGAATGACCTCGGGGGGCCCTACTCCCCCAACCAGCCCTCCATAAACCTGCACTCACAGGTAACACACAAGGCTGGGCCCCATCTCCTCAGCCAGGCTCCTAAGCCAGGTGGGTAGAAATGTCTAGAGGTCCCCTAGAGACCTAGGAAAAGGGATTAGACTCGCTGGACCCTTCATCCATGAGGGCCCTGCTCTCATCAGCTCCTTTCATCCATGCAGGCAGTAAACCCGACCATGCCAGGGTGTCAGTGACCCCTACAAGATGACCAGAGCTGAGAGGGACAATGTCCAAAGGGATTCCAAGAACTCTAATAGTGGTTTTCTGGCCTCAGAAATGAGTGCAAGAGTTTAGGAGAGAGAAAGCTCTCCTGGAGGATGGGGCAGGTGCAGAGCTGGGGATGGACCCAGACATCCTGGCCCCACAAGACGCCTGGGGCTTGGTGAGCTCGCTGTGCTCCTGGGAAGGTGGGTTGGGAAAACGTGGCTGTTCCCTGAACCTGCCCACTAGGCAGGTGAAGACGGCTTCCCTGGGTCTGGTCTCCTGGAGCGTTCTCCAGTTGTTCTCCCGAGCTTGGCACATCTGCTTCTCTTAAGTTCAGAGCCACTGTGAGTTCTCCTCAAGCCACCCCCCTTTCAACATTCATCTAGCACCTCATCCTGGGAACTGGGGAAATGAGGAAATGGTGGCTGCGGGTTCTAGCCTAGCATATGCTCATCTCTCCTCGGCTGAATGTTTTCCCCAAAGCCACAAACTCAGAAGGCTGCCCGGCCATGCCTTTCTCTGCCATGGGTGTCTACGTAAATCATAGGCTCTCCACTTGTTTCCCTCCCACGGACTTCCAGCCTTTGCTTCACACCCAGGACAGAGATATGGAGGGCCCCCGGGAGGTTGACTATTGTGTTCACCTCTTCTCATGAGACAACTGGACGTGGGGATAAGGGGAAACTTTCTAAGAATGAATGACAAGAGGTGCAGGAAAGCGTGTCTGAGCAAGGCTCTGCCATTTTTGTCCCTAGGTCTTTTAAGGACCAACACATATCATCTGTAGCTCCTTGGGTGGTGCAAACAGCTAACTTTCTCAACTGCTAACCCAAAGGTTGGCAGTTCAAGTCCACCCCGAGTCACCTCAGGAAGAAAGACCTGGTGGTCTACTTCCGAAAAAATCAGCCATTGAAAACCCTATGGAGCACAGTTCTACTCTGACACACATGGGGTCACCATGAGTCGGAGTCGACTCAAGGACAACTGGTTGGGTTTCTTTTTTTTTTGATGCATGGTCTATCTCTCCAGGTCCGATAGAGGCAGGGGATGGGACAGGATAAAAACAAGCATAGAAGATACTCTCAGTATATCAACCCCACCCCAGCGGGATCTCTGAGGACTTGATAGTGGACAAGGCACGAGGGGTACTGCCTGGGACATGGGGCAAGAAGTTTATTTCCTCTTCCTATAGCTTGAAATCACCAAATCACTTTATTACAGATCTGAAAACAGCCGCCCAGGCTTCTGCTTGCTAGTATTCTCTTGAAATAGACTCATTCCTTCCGAGTCTTATTGTACTTCCCCTTATGATCAAAATTAGCAAGAAACTTGCATAAAAGAGGACAATAATTGCTCAACGAGCATCTCGTTTGTAATTTATTAGTTTCTATTATTGTGGGTTTCCATGGCGACCGAGCGCAGCCCTGGTGACGGGAGAGATGCAAGATAGGCACGGAGAAGGCTGAGGCCTCACCAAATGGAGATGCACATTTTTATCAGTAATTTTCATGAAAATAATAAGTGAGGAGTTAATGGGATGGAAAGCCATCCTGTGGCTATTGTGAATTTTTTTCAAGTGTTGATCTAATTAGAATGCATCGGTCAGGAAAAGTAATGAGGATTTAGTGCCTCACAGAGATGTGAGGATCATATCAGAAAATTAGCACAAGTCTTTGGAAATAATCAGGTCCTTGGAGAGAGCCACCAGATTTCCCCTCCTGGGCCTTCCAACTCTCCCCTGAGCTGTAGAGTTAGGGGCGTCGCACGGTGGTGGGGAGTGCGGAGGCCAGGGCGCTCAGCAGCCCTAGTGGCCCCTCAGGGCTGGGGGCCTGAGGCTGGCAGGGTGGAGGAAGGAGGCTCTCTGGAGGTAGGGGTGTGCAGAACAGGACAGCACGGGCTCTGGGTGGTCAAGGCTCAGAGACGCCGCCTACATAACCAGTCGTCCTGGGGAAGCCCAGCACTCAGGCCCTCTTTGCTGTGAGCAGAGAGAACGAACTTTAATCCCTACCCTTGTGAGCCTCTCATCTCTGCTGGACACTGCAGAAAGGCCACTGGTCTGCTTGCAAAGAGGAACTCAGACGATCGGGCGAAAACAAAGACACCAAGCAAGGGAGGAAAAGGCTCTCACCGAGGCGTTCAACCTTTAGCTCTCAAATTTGCCCCTTGGCTGCCTCTGACAGTCGCCACCTCCTTAGTTCAGGCTTCTGGGGATGAACAAGGTAACCACGCACCACTGCTACAATGGCGTCCTAACCTTGCCCCTTGCCCCTGTCCTCTCTGGCTGCCCCTCAGCCCCCCTGTCCTCTCTGGCTGCCCCTCAGCCCCCCTGTCCTCTCTGGCTGCCCCTCAGCCCCCCTGTCCTCTCTGGCTGCCCCTCAGCCCCCCTGTCCTCTCTGGCTGCCCCTCAGCCCCCCTGTCCTCTCTGGCTGCCCCTCAGCCCCCCTGTCCTCTCTGGCTGCCCCTCAGCCCTCCTGTCCTCTCTGGCTGATACTAAACTTTTTTTTTTGAATAGAGACAGTATTTTATCTACTGTATAACCCAGACCCAAGGTGGCTCCCGTGGGCTACAGGACAGAATGTCGGTAAATGCTTGTGGAAAGCAGAAAGGTGGGAAGACAGAAAACAGGAGTGGCAAGAGGAAGCTGGAGGAGGAAAGAGGAATAGGAAGAAAGATAAAGGGGAAGAAAGTCAAGTATAAAGGGTCAGAGTTCAGGGTGAAGAACTGGAGGACAAGAGACACACAGAGTAAGAGTCGGGAAGAGACGCCAACCTCAGGGAAGGGAGGGGAAGCGGAAGGAAGACCAGGCAGAAAGGGGGAGAGGAAAGGGGTGGGCACAGGAGGAGGAGCAACAGCGAGATGGAGAAGAAGGTGGGAAAGCGAGATGCGTGTGGGGTCGGTGGAAAGTCTGGGGCATGTGGAGGAGAAGGGGGTGAGCAGGATGAGCTGGACACTGTCCCCCACACACATTCCCAGGGTTCTGTCCTGTCTCACTGAGGAAGGGGCAAGGGCCAACATGGTCTCCCAGGAAGGAAAGACCCAGGGAGTGTGTGTCCCCCAGGGCTGCCAAGGACTGAGCACCAGGGACTTCTAAGTACAGGAGGCAGGCCTGGGGGTCAGGGCGTGGGGCCAGCGTGAGAGAGGAGAGAGAGAAGGGTTTGGGGCATGTGTGCCCGCGCATGTGTGCATGTGTGTGCATACACATTGGTCATGGTTCGACCTTAATCCCCCCTGCCTGAAATAGCTGCGCTGAGCGCCAGCCTGGCCTGGGGAGGGGTGTCTTCCTTCTGGAACATGATCCTCCGGATCAACATTCCAGCCGCCTGCCAGCTTTGTTGCACACTGCTGGCTCCCGCTTTTCCCTGCGTGCTAATCATCCAGCTTTGTGCTGCAAAGTGGAAGACACTTGTTTTTCCAGTCGCCAGTCCATCAGAAGCCATGCTGTGTCCAGCACAGTGGAGTTCTGGGCATATTCCTACTCCATTTCTATCTGCGAGTTTCTGTGGGGGTGGATGGAGGTGGGGAGTGGGGAGGCTACTTCTACCAGGCAGGAGAATTAAAACAGTTTCCAAGGACTTGGGCCAATCCTGGTTCTTTCCAACCTCCCAGGAAGCCATCTGTAGCGGCCTGCACCCAATAGCACCCAGGCTTCCTAACCCCTCGTGGCCCTGACGTCCTGCAAGGGCAGCGTCCTCAGTAAGGAGACTCATTGTAGACCCCTCTCCGGGGTTTCCTGCCTTTAATGAGAAGGCACACTGAACCATTTGCCCAGAGAAAACCTGACTCCTGCCTCTCCTGCCTGGTCATTTGAACTGAAATTCGTCCCTCTTTCTCCACGGAGAGTGAAGCCTCAGCTCTAGTCCAGGGCAAATGCAGCTGAGCTGTGGTTCTCCTTCAGTTGCCAAGCATTTGTTGGCCTCCGATGGCATGCACTGTGCTAGATTCGCTGTGACCCAAGTGAAATGTCCAGGAGGAGCTCCCCACCTCAGTGGGAGGGAGCTGTGAGTCGTCCCTGGAGAGGGAGATACATAACGTGAGTGAGCCCCGGAAGGCTCAGGGTCCAGTGGGCACTGCGAAGGGTGGGAGAGGAGAAGCTAGAGACAGGGAGTGCAGCCGCAGGAAGGGTTCTGGATTGAGCAAAACACACAGTGGCTCGAGGTCACCCCAACACCACTCAGCACCTTTATCCCTCCCTGAGAGTGCCAGGCCCCAGACCTGGCCTACAGGCCCTCATGGCCAGAGTCTGTTCCTGCCCAGAGACAGGATGAACAAACCTCAGTGTGGACTCCCTTAGGCCAGCAGAAGTTTGCCCACGGTGACTGGAGGAGTTGTAGATTCACTGGCCTTGGGAGGACTTCCTGGAAGAGAGGGTATTTCAGGCAGGTTTGGGGGAGGCTAGTCCCCTATCTGGCAGCTCTAAAGGTGAGTGTTCCTGGTGTACAGAGACATATAGAAGAAGGTGAGGAACCAAGACAGCCTTTCAGAATCCTCTGGGGTCTTCAAATCCCCGGAGGGAAGGTCATGTAGTAGAGGGTGGAGTGTTCACTCATTCAGTGTCATGCATCCATTCAAACACGGGCTGAGCACCGCTGAGCTTCAAGAATATAAACAGGGACGTGGCACCATCTCTGACCTCAACATGTAGTGATGGACTATCTCGCAGCCAGATTGGGCCAGGGGGTTTTTGCTCTGAGGCTGATAGTGGTGGCCAGCTGCTAATGATTTTAAAGGTAGTGGAGAATGGAAACCCTGGTGGCGCGGTGGTTAAGAGCTCTGCTGCTAACCAAAAGGTCGGCAGTTC